TTTTTTTTTTTTTTTTTTTGACCTGTATAAGAAATTAAAAGAAAAAACAAAGTGGATTTAATACATATTTATTTCAGCACTAGCGATCGGGCGCAGATTAACATGCAAAAATAACCATTATTATCTGTGGTTTACGGCAACTCAACTACTTTACCCTACTTACTATATATGTATAGTTTTTTTTTTATAATACCAATGATGGGACGAACAAGTCTTGCGCCCGGTGGTAAGCGACACTCCTGTCTATGACAGTTGTACTGCCACTCAGAGCTTTACATCGCAAAGATCTTAGGGGCACTGCCACTGCACTCGACACCCTGAGACATAAGTTGACACGTCCCATGTGCCTGTAATTTCACCAGCACAAACGCTTTAGAGCGGTTACACGAGGCGACTTCAAGCAGCGATGCAGTAGCGATGCTGTCGCTAATCGTCTACCTTTACACACGCGCGCGATTTTAAGATGAAGAAACGCGATGCAAGCGCGCAACTGTATCGATACAAACGCGCAATTGCGTCACTACACTTGGGATTTATAGGCGATTGCATCGACACAAACGCGCGATTGCATCGATGCAATCGCCTATAAATCGCCTAACTCGTTAATTCACGAAACATAGACCATCTTATTCGCTAGTTTACCGTAACATTTTGATGTGATACGCGTTCTAACCGGTATATACATTGTGCACGTGTGTTAACTGCAACATTAACTTTTAATTAAATTCTAGTATCGCCTGATCGTGAGTCATTGCACTGCAGCGCACTCTATATTGGTGTCTGATGAGGGCGAAGCATATACATTCGGTAAGTATAATGGCCGCCATATATATTGACTTCACAATCTGTCGTTTTAGAGTAATCAAAACGAAAAAAGTAGTTACATAATTATGATAAAATCACAATTCTAATTGTACACATTTTAATCAAAATGCATTGTATAAATTATTTACGAAAGTGATATAAATACATACATAAAAAACACCAGGAGTGTATACTTTTCACTGATTGCAGTTTGTTTACTTTTCTCTGAAATAAATGACCTTTGTTTAAAACGATATCATGATTATATATTTTTGAACACAACTAAGAACTAATCTAAAATTTATTTGTACATTTTTATGATGGTTGCATAAATAATTGAGGTTCTTTTTTTATTGTTTATTTTCGATTGTATTTAGATTGAGTAATAATAAAATAAATTTATCTTTATTGAAAAAAGAAAAATAATTGTTTGTTTTTGTAGTTAATAAGTATTATTACGTTTTGAATTTCTTAATTATTTGTTACTTGTTTAAACTGATGGCTCTATAGCCAATGCTTAACAAATAAATTAAAAAAAACTCTATCTTTACGTATGTTACTGGCTTGATGTGATAGGAACGGATGACGATGTTGAAATATGTGTCAGGGCGCAACACCTGCGGTCAGCTGGGATTCGGCGACACGGTGACCCGCAACTTGCCGGAGCGCGTGCCCGGACTGGCGGGAAAGAACATCATTCACGCTGCCGTCGGCCGGCACCACTCTCTCTTTGTAACTGGTACTACACATATATCACTAACTTTTTTTAACCGACTTTAAAAAAGGAGGAGGGTTTCAATTCGACTGTATGTTATTTCTTTTTTTTTATGTATGTTACGCGATAACTCCTGTATTTGTGAACCGATTTTGATGATTCTTTTTGTTGATTTTTCTTAGTGGTCCCATTTCAATTTGAAGAATATATCTCCTCCTCCCTCTAAGGGTGGCAAACTAGGGGATGAATCCGGTTTCGCGCACTTTCCGGTAACCGATAGCAATAAAACTTTGCAAATCGATGTCATTTCACGAACTTTTGAGGTTGGTTTTTTAGTACTCTGTTCTGAAATTTTTTATGATAATAAGTGACGGGACGAACGAATCGTGCGCCTGGTGGTAAGCGACTGTCCATAACAGTTGCAGTGCCGCTCAAAGGGCACTCACTGCCACTGCGCTTGTCACCCAGGACATATGGAAAAGTCTCATGTGCAAACAGCGGCTGCTGCAAAGCCTAGTAAATGCTTTAGACTAACTTTTACAGGAGCGCAAAAAACACAAATCTAGGTTGCCCTTGAACAATTTTCCTTTTAATTTCAAAAAGTAATAGTATTAGGTTAGGAACCAATCAACGAATATATTAATGTCACAAAAATTATTAAAACACATGTACGAGCAGTACATTAGATATGTCGTAACTTAACCTAAATACGTTGCTGATCGCGCGCGTTGTCGCGCTTACATTTTATGTACAATTATGTATATTTTTAGTACAATAAAGACCTTCGGACGGTGCCTTACATATTTTGCATCAACCTACCTCAACGGAACGGTGTACTCAGGGAAACATACAATTCCCATCAACATACATTCTTACGAACATTGTACATTACATACGTTGGGCACGAGTCCCAACATTTTGGTCCTTCGAGCCGGATGTACTAGCGACCTATGGATACATATTTTATACCCTTTACTGACTGAATATTTATGTGTACATACTTAAGTAAACTTACTGTAGCAGCCAGAATCAAAATAAAATATTTATTGTTAGGTAAAGTCAAGAGCACGTCAAGCTTGACACTTTGTACCTTGGATCGTTCTTATCGTAAGCGGCGTAGAGTTGGATTTAAATCTCAAGCTTGACGTCCTCTTGACCCTGTACCTATTTGGTTTAGTTATTACACAAGCAGATTTGGAATAAAATTTCATTTTATTTGACTAATTGAATTAGGAAAACGACTGAGATTTTCAGTACCAATAAAGTTTATTAACCACTAATATACAGGATGGAAAAAATTAATGGAACATGAAGGGGATATACCTTAAATGCTTAAAATGTAATGTTTTCTTAGAGAAAACCTACTTTTAATTTTATTTCTATTAGTACAATAAAATTCTATAGAGTATATTTTTTGCATATTTAGTTGGTTCGATTCCGGACTCAAGCAAGCTTTTCAAAAATCTGTAAATGCAGTTATTTAATAAATAAAAAAAATTCCTTTCAGTAAAATATAGCTAGCTTAAGCATTTAAGCTTCATGTCGCATTATTATTTTTTTACAACCTGTATATATTAATTGTTTTGTAAAACTGTAAGGTACGAACTCTTTTCACAAGGGTTCGATGGAATTAAGTTATTTGCATTTAAAATTACACACTCTACTAACACGCACGTGATAAATTTGCTAATTGTGACTAGTCATGTATCGTTATGGCTTTTTCAAATAACCTAACGAAACCGTTTTGCAATTTTAGATAACATTGTGAAAACTATCTATTTTTGACAACTATCTACTTCGACTACGGCGCAAGTGACAAAAAGTTGTAAAACGGTTACAATTGATATCATAACATAACTAAAATAAGAAAGCTGCAGTTTGTTTCGTTGTCTTTTTTTTTGTTTAAAAGCGCTAATATCTGGAACTCCAGTTGAATTTGAAAAAATATTTTTGCATTTGATAGCCCAAATATTGTCTACCAAACATACAACCCAAAAGTTTTATAAATATTATACACAAAATTACAGGTTTATTTATTTACAATTAAACATTATAAAGTCTCATTTAAAATAAAAGTAATTTGCGCAATCCGCTACGATTAGTACACAAATAATTAGTATGCCTATCACCGCGCGCGATTACAAGCAAATTAATTCATTACTATCTAATTTAAAAACAACAATCGCAAAACAACTAAGACCCCGCGGTTACACGTGTCCAGGTCAAAAGTTAAATTTTTAATTTCCGAAAGTTATTCATTCTAATAACGACTTTCATTCATAACACAAAAGTCACATTATGCAACAACGAAACGTCATCAATTTCAAAGTAAATTCAATCATTCAACCTTTACTTGTGCAAACGGGACGTGTCCTATCCTATATCTTCGCTGCGTTGCGATCCTGGTACATCACCAACCACAACGACATCTATTGCGTGATCATATAGACCGTTGCGAGATAGCAACTCTTTACAATCACTACAAAACAAGCGATGGTTGTCAAAAACGCAGTGACAATTAATTATTATTAATTAGCATTATATAGTATTAATTAGCATATTCACATCATTTTAATATTTAGATACACTTAAAACAACTCCCAGACAAAGTTCTTCGAAATTAATGAAAGTTTTGTTTTACAAATGTAAAGTTTTCTTTTACAGTGTACTTAATAAAGTGAATTTTGCAGATACTGGCGCTGTGTACGCGTGCGGCGACAACAAGAGCGGTCAGTGTGGCATCGGCACTAACACACCGCAAGTGCTCGTGCCCACACGCGTTCGACATACGTAAGTTTCATTCATAATCATCAACAACCCATACTGCCACCGTTAGTTGAAAGGGCGCTTGTGACAAATACTCAAAGTCATACGTCAACTTATACTTTATCTACCAAGGAAAAAAAAAATAGGCTATATCATTTAAAAAACGTATATCGTATAGTATACGTGTTATATTTAGTTCAGTTGATATAAAAAAGTCGTTGGGAAAGTACCTATTGAATACAGCGGTTTTCTTGTAAAATTTCGAGGTAAGTTTGTGGTTTTTTCTATCGTGAAAATTTTTACGTATCTTGTTTTTACACCCTATAGTCATCGGTGAAAATCCTCAATTATACTACATATTTTTTCCAAGGGATTGAACATTGAACACTTCCACTGTTATGCAGAATACCAAAGTCATTTGAGATTGTATCGACTGTAAGAGATTGTGGTATGCCTCAAGGGCTCCTGGACTGTAGCTTAGTTGGTACAGCAGTTGTCCTGGTTTGGCAAAGACGCAGAAATATTTATAACATGTTTATATTTATATGTTTTAACTGCCTCCGTGGCCGAACGGTTACCATGCCGGACTGCCACGCAGAGGTCTCAGGTTCGATTCCCGGGCCGAGAGAAATAATTGTATGGCCTACAATTATTTCTCTCGTGAGTTTGGGTGTAATTTGTGGTTGTCTATGTGTGTGTCCATGGCACTCGCGACACAGGGTTTCCCTAGTGCGGGGCTATGTTGAGTGTGTGCGTTATTTATTTATTTATTTATTTTATATTTATGGAAATGAAATTTACAGCACTCCAATTGTGAAAGTCGGCTGCGGCGCAGAGTTCTCTATGGTCCTGGATTGTAACGGCGCGTTACACTCGTTCGGGCTGCCCGAGTATGGCCAACTGGGTAACTCTTCCATCATTTTTTTACAAACAATCTAGCCAACTCGTTTGAGATCTTTACTTAAAGGGTGGCTGATTAAAAAAGTAATCTGGTTTCACTTTTTATTAAGAACAATAAGAGATAGATAGATAACACGTTATTCAGCACAAATACAAACAGAAACAAAACATTTACAATAACTTCACAAAGTATAACACAAAATCACATAAAACAAACACATAACACAAGTATACAGTTATATATATTGTTATACATAATTATATATATATTGAAAACAAATACGGTGAGAAACAAACAAACAAACAAATACTGTGAGAATTAACAAGATTTTATGTATGACTACAGTTTGTGCTGAAATGACCCTGACTCAGTATAAATACTAGACGACTCATCCGTAGAACAAAGACCTATATGCAAGATGATGCTTATTCTCGCGACATTAGACATTTCGTTTGTTGTTCTTGACTGCGGATATCCACGGTCAAGATCGACTGTTGTTCGATTTTATATTTCTGAAACGAAATAATAAATACGTAAAAAATCTGAAAACACCTTGATATAGGCCTTTTGAATAACGAGATTATGTTTTAACCTCTTTTCGTAGTATAATCATATCGCACTTTGTTCTTCGGATGAGTCGTGTAGACAGTGAAAAGTCAAACAGCTGGTTTTCTGCAAGTACCATATGGTGAGCGATTGCAACCCAACAAATACATATACCTAACTAATCTCTGATAGGAAAGTATACCATTCGTAATACATAGGTTTTTTTAGTAACTGAAAAAGAATACTTAACATCAGAGTGGACTCTAAGAAGCTATCTCACGCGCACCTATTCGGCTTTGAAATGAACGGCCGGGGGCTACAGCACTTTTTGCCAAGCATTGACCACCAACAAATGGACGTCGGGTCCGCGCTTAAAAGTGTCGGAACCTATACGTCAGGGATTCTAAACCTTTTTCTAATCATGAACCCCTTTCAAAATTTCAAAGAGACCACGGACCCTTTCCGAAAAGATGAAGAACTTCCTACGCAGGTGTTGTGCCGCCAGGTTTAGATTAATAATTATTCTTTTTAAACATTTTTTAATAATAAAAGAAAGGCTCGCGGGTTTCATTGTCGCGCGTCTCGCTCACTCCTATAATGGATAGCCGCCAAAGGGCACATGCACTGCACCTGTTCACTCAACATATTGTATACCAATTTTTATATTAATGCAATATGATAGGTAAAAATTATATATAAATTACAAACGCAATAAAAATAAACAAACAGCTAACCGTCCTTATCCTACACATTGAATGCTCAAAAGACAGAAAGAGACCCATAACGTCAATTTCAATTGTTCGAACCACAAGCGATTAAAACATTAGAACAAAGAAACTGTAGAGTCGTTGCCAACTTAATCTGAGTACTGGAGTGTATAATTACACTGAATATTTCAACTGCCTCCGTGGCCGTACGGTTACCTTGTCGGACCGCCACGCAGAGGTCCCAGGTTCGTTTCCGGGGCTGGCAGAAATATTTGTATGGCCTACATTTATTTCTCTCGCGAGTTTGGATGTAATTTGTGGTTGGTTGTCTGCGTGTGTCCTTAGCACCCGCGACTCAGGGTTTCCCTAGTGCGCGGCTATGTTGAGTGTGTTCGTTATTATTATTATTACTTAAATTGTATCCATGTATTTAGTTAAGCTTCCTGTCCCGTTGAGCTCTACTCGAGTTTATATAATCGTGGTCACCGAGCGAGACAGATAATCAGAGTGTGAGCGAGGAAGTTTTCGAGATCGCGCCCGTCGCGTTTCACGTTAATTCTCATTGTAAAGTTACAATTTATTAATATTCAAACGACTGCAGGCCATAACACCGACGGCAAGTACTTCGTGACGTCGACGAAGCTGTCTTACCACTTCGAGACTGTGCCGAAGCACGTGGCGCTGTTCTTCGAGAAATCCAAGGATGGCCATGTCACACCCGTCAAAGACGTTGACATTGTCGATTTCTCCTGCGGAAACAACCATACGGTAACTTTTAACTTTTCTGTCTAAGGCCACAAACTCGCTACGCTGGTGTATTCGGTGGTGGGTGGGGCATTCAAGGTATGTACACTGTGTCATGTGTTGGATGTACGCGCAAACTTCGAACGCCTCACCGAACGCACCATTATGTTCCGAATTTGCGGCCTGAGGGATTAACAGAGCAATTCAAGAAATCTCAATTCAACTTTTCTTATTTGTAATAGATATAGGAGCAAAAAGCACATTATTGCGTTTATATCGACTCAAACGCGATACAGACGCGCACGAGAAGCGCGTTCGAAGCTCGTCTGTATCGAGTTTTCATCGCGTTGCAAGCAAGAAGCTTATATACTCCACTGGAGTTTACACTTAGAATTTCATGTAGTTGGTTCATTCCAAAAACCAATTGGAATTAACAACGAAACTAAAAAATTAAAACCGTATTTTATCAAAATGCGCGATACATACGCGCGACTACAGCACGTCTGAATGTGTGAACGTGCAAAGGCTTACTCGCGATTGCATCGCGTTTGACTCGAGTTTACGTGCGTTATCGGCGCGTTGTCGGCGCGTGTAAAATACGCCGTGTGCATAGGCTCTAATATATTGTGTACCCTGATGATTGGATGAAAGCATCGAGTATATAACCAGAAATAGAGACGAAATAAGTGCCATATATTCCTGGTAACACATAAGTGATACAGCTCTTATAAATATCAACTCTCGTTTGCACTGAAATATAGACAGGCCAACTACTGACCTGTGTGTATGTCTCCGTATATTCCAAAAATATTTTGTAAAAAAGATAATATCTCGTAACAATGCCGTGCTGTTCTATTCGGTGGTGTGGGAAAAATAGCAAAACATCTAATTACAAAACAAACGGAATCACATTTCAACGGTAATGAAATATTAAATATGTAATTTTGCAATTTTCGTCCATTATAACAAAGCTCAAGTTAACTGGTCGATTTGAAGTGAAACAGTTGACGACACCCGTCAATTGTTTCGAACTCGGGTTAGCCAATGATATGGCAGAATAGTTTTCAAACAAATTATATGACATTTCCTCTCTATTTCTGGTTATATACTCGATGGATGAAAGCAATAGTTACAGTGGTGCAATAATTTAGTATTAATTGTCAAAACAGTAAGACCGAAGGTTGATTACCCTTGCGATATGCAGTGTTAACGCGGGTTTAGCTTAAACCGGTCAAAAGAAGCGTTCCGCTTCCGCTTCCGCGTACAACGTTTATTTTGCTCTTGTTATATGGACTTGTTAAGTTTGTAAGTTTTTTTTTTACCGGCTTCATACGATTCCATGATGATAAATGTGGCGAATGTCATAAGCGGCAATACCCAATAGGCATGTACACTGCTTGGTCAATTTCAACGACACATCTATCGCTCGGCTATTTTGATGTATTTTCTTGGTAAATAATAGTAACGATTGTCGCCCGGCTAAGTTTACCGTGTGTTTTGGCTTTTGCATGGCAGGTGGCAATAGACTCGAAGAAGCGTGCGTTCAGCTGGGGTTTCGGCGGTTTCGGCCGGCTGGGGCACGCAGAACAGAAGGACGAGAGTGTACCTCGCCTGATTAAGTTCTTCGAAACATCTTCGCGCGGCGTGCGCTCCGTCTACTGCGGCGCTACTTACAGCCTCGCCATCAATGACCATGGTTTGTTACTTGTGCTTACGACCATAAGAAAAAAAAATCATAATTAATTCACACACTCATAGCACCGCATTAGGGAAACCCTTTATCGCGGGCGTCATGGACACACACACACACACACATAGACAACCACGCATTTCACTCGAAACTCGCGAGAGAAATAAATGTAAGCCATACTCTCCTCTCCTCTCTTACTGCCTCTGTGGCCGAACGGTTACCATGCCGGACTGCCACGCAGAGGTCTCAGGTTCGGTTCCCGGGCCGGGAGAAATATTTGTATGGCCTACATTTATTTCTCTCGTGAGTTTGGGTGTAATTTGTGGTTGTCTATGTGTGTGTCCATGGCACCCGCGACAGAGGGTTTCCCTATAGCGGGGCTATGTTGACTATGAGTATGTTAGTATAACGTACTAACATTTCTCCCGACGAACGTGTAGTTTAAAATTTTTAAATATGATAAATCTGCAATAGATTTCTCATAGATGGTGCTACGACTAAAAAGTCGTTGAAAGACCAAGTACAAAAACACGACGCAAGCACATAGAAAAATTCGTGAGGTCCGTTGGTTCGTTCCGTGGCTTAGTTGGTATAGCGTCTGACACGGTATGCAAGAAGACGTCGGTTCGAATCCGACCGGATCGAAGGAATTTTTTCCGAGTGTTTTTTCTGAGTGTTCGATCTTTGTATTAATAATTATAACAAACTAGTGCAGTAATTTCACAAAAAATAATTGAATATCAATTCAATAAAGATTTAATTAATTTTTAACAACTTAACAAAATGGTTGGGGACATCGTCTCTAGAATGCGTGACGGTTAAAAGATAGTTTTTTTTTTTTCATTTACCCCTAAACAAACAAGCGGGGTGCTGCAATGTTCAGAGTGCAAACTACATTGTACCCGAGAAATTTAGACTAAGGGGGAAAATCAGCTATTCCTTAATATACTTGACTATATGAACATCGCGGTTCTAACATTTTTGTCGATTCTAAGGCTGGGGCGTACTTTGAAAACATTGTGTAGTATAATGTATTTACAAAACATATTAATTTTAGTTTTTAGTAATTATAATACGAATGAAACAAGTTTACTGTCTATGTCATAATGATAATAATTTTAATTATATATCAATTATATAGCTGCTAATAACAATTAACTGAGTGTGAATTTTAATTAAATAAATAATTACAATGTATTTTATACCTCCTATTTTTGTTATAGGTGTCTTATTCTTGTTCGGCCAAACAAAGCGCACGGGCGAAGCAAACATGTACCCGAAACCTGTCCAGGATCTGCAAGGTAAGAAAATTTGGCAACTCAAAGTGAAGTAATAAATTTTCTATTGCATTATAATAGTACATTATTACTGAGGCCGCGAGTAATAGATTGCTGGACAAATAAGAGTCGCTTACTTGTATTGATCCCCTTGATTTGTCCCCGCCGAGGAATTTGTAGTGCTTGCATATTCGCAAGTTACCACATTCACAAGATATTACATTCTTAAAACATCATATTCGCTAAACACCACATTTGCAAAATATCGTATGTTTACAACATTCTGTACTGTTCGGAACAAAATACAAAACTACATTTTATAAATTATTCATTTTATATCATTATTAAAAAAGAGGCAAAAATACAAAATATAAAATAAAAAAACAACAATTTGCATTTCACTGATGAAAAGACAAATAATAGAGAAGAACAAAAAATGTGGTATCTTGCGAAAATGATATTTTGTAAACGTGATGTCTTGCGAATGTCATGTTTTGCGAACACTATATTTTGCGAATATGATATTCAGCGACTGAGGCGGAAGAGTGTTACACAGGCAAATTGGATATGTATACTAAAATGAAATTACTTAATATTGCAACTTAGATATTCCCAGCACACGTGATAAATTTTTCATATTTCTGTTATTTAGTTATTTTCTGTTACAAATAAATGAACGACGGATCTAATACAAAAATCACGAAAAAAATGTCCCAAGTCAACCTATTTAAACTTTGTGACATGTAAAGGAATATGAAAAAGCTAAAACGTTGAATTTAAATTGTAATGTCATCGCAGTACTGTCTAATTTTGCTTGCTTCGCTGTCATTCGAACAAACGAAGACTAAAGCGTGAATGACACTCTGTATACAATTTTAACGCCCCATAAGTTCGGACACTTTTTCGCGCGGACCCGACGTCCATATAATTGTAAGTCAATGATGTGTATGCATACATTTGATTCGCAGTTCTTACTCAAGTCGGGCGTACATTGTCTTAAAATTCAATTAATATATACTATAAAATTAAACGTCCATAAAATAAAATTAAATTAAACTAAACATAATGTTCATTTGTCAAATATTTGATGTCACTTTATAAAATTCACTTAGATTATAGAAAACATTGTCAATTAGCCATTTCTTTAAATGAGCCTTGAATTGGATTACTATTTAAGTATTTAATATCAATCGGGATTCTGTTATATGTTCTGATTGCCGTTACATAAGTGCAGTGGTCAAAGATCGCACTTTTTACTACAGGTAGTAAAAGACGGTCCTTGTTCCTTACGTTAAACGATACGCTGTAATGCTCACATTACTGCTTGGCGATAGAAATAGATATGGTGACAGTACTTCCCTGGATGAACTCTTTCACAAGGAGATCTCCTGCAACTAAAACTGTGTTTCAGGTTGGAACATTAAAGATATTGGAACATCGTGCACGTCCGTAGTGATTGCTGCTGACGACTCTTTGATCGCATGGGGCGTCTCACCCACCTACGGCGAACTGGTAAGTTGCTAAATCAACTCCAATACAGTTGTAAAGTGCTCCCAATCCATTTTCAACAAAAAGTAAACAAAACTGTTTGGTTATAATTCTAAAGTCTAAAACTCATAAGTCGAATAAGTAACACTTTCACGTATATTTAGACTTGATATCTCATCACTTTTTCCAACAATATCTATTTGAATAGCATCGTAAAATTATATTTGAAAAATGGTAGTCCTAAAGTGAGGTTATTTTTCATCTGTACATCTATGACTTGTCTATGTTTGAATAATGTTGTATGAAAAAAACATTCCATTCATTCAATTAAAGTTTTTCTGGTTGATTATTAAATCGAATATTTCAATCTCAATCGAACGAGTATCTAAGTTTAAGGATGTAAATGAGGACTTAAAATTAATATTTCGGATTTTTTAAATATGCTTATGTAGATTATATAATTATATATGTTAACTGCCTCCGTGGCCGAACGGTTACCATACCGGACTGCCACGCAGAGGTCCCCGGGTTCGATTCCCGGGCCGGGAGAAGTATTTGTATGGCCTACATTTGTTTCTCTCGTGAGTTTGGGTGTAATTTGTGGTTGTCTATGTATGTGTCCATGGCACCCGCGACACAGGGTTTCCCTAGTGCGGGGCTATGTTGAGTGTGTGCGTTATTATTATTATTATTATTATAGGGTAAACACCTAGTTTGACTCAATTGAACAAGTCGATTCATTCAATTAATCGATTTGTAATTGGCATTACAATTGGCCATCACTAATCCGTCTATGGTCGGGTCAGTGACTTGTTTGTTTACATTTTGTACAAAATTGAAATGAAGTATAGTAATAATAACCCTGACTCAAATGTGACCAGAGCTAGGCGAAATACAAAATACTTTCATGAGGTGTATTGAAAATACAGCATGCAAAACCACCACTAACCAGTCGTTAAGAAAGTATTTGATATATCAATATGCGATGCCACGAACAGAGACACAATCAAAGTTTTCAAACTGATAAAAATGTTCTTTTTGGGAACCAATGACCAAAGTACATAAATGACCAATTATACATATCGTCCAAGTTACCATAGTGCTTGAAATTTACAAAGTTAGTTACAACAAAAGTACAGTAAAGACCCATGCGGAAGACTATTAGTGAAAAGAAATAAGTATACTAATTGGTTACGTCAAGGATATAAAATATAATTATTATCACTAACCGAACACCAACAATATATTCATCGACATCAGATGATGTCTTAATTTCTTTTCTTCTCTGAGGTGTGCGGGTTCGGAGTGCGGTGAGAATAGCAAACTGATCGGCCTGTTCAAGGTCTGAGATGGGAAGTGGTTTATATTATAACTAACTTCAAAAAAAGAAGGAAGTTCTCAATTCGTGTATATTTTTTTCTTTTTTTTGTATGTATTTTACGCGATAACTCTGTTGTAATATTATAGATAATTTGTGAACAAATTTTCATGATATTAATTTTTGTTGAAAATAGGTTATGTCAGTAGTGGTTCCATTTAAATTTGAAAAAATATTCCACCTCAAGGGGATGAATTAACTTTGTATAAATTCTTCGAACTGTAAGAATCTGATATGAAAATTTTGTAAGAAATGCTAATCTGGTAAATACGTATTTATACAGCACACTACTCCGTCCAACCGTTTATTCAACTTTTAACAGCTCGAATTCTAATCCATTAGTGATGTCCTATTGCGTTTCCGATTTGAATTTTTATGACAATCAATTTGACATATGAAGAAGTTTTAATTGTGGATGTGACCGGGTTCAAAATAGAAGATATTGTCTGATTGGGATCGTGATGTTGCGTTTGACAATTTGTGTACTCAAGAATTAATAATTAATGTTAATAAGGATTCAAGTTATTCCCATTCATATGGTGAAAAATCGGACGTTTCATTATAATAAACAATAAGAATTTATTATAATTATTAATTTGCATATCATTATAATTTATTACACAGGTACAGAAACAAGAGCACGTCAAATTTAAATCCATCTTTATGCCGCTTATGATAAGAACGGTCCAAAGTACACGTGTCAAGCTTGACGTGCACTTGACTACCATACCAGTACCAAAATTTATCAATTTAGACAACTTTCGTTACATAATCTGTTGGCTCGATAAATATCGGAGCAAAAGAACAAATCGCTTCACTAAAATAAAAAAGTGTCCCGGAAGTTTTGCATTTTTTGTCTGTGGTTGTATGTCAATAATTACGGAACATGCTTATGTCAAAAGTTTGTTATTTGGACGGAGTATAGTTTGTTATATTATTAATACAAAAATCGAAGGATTTTTTCCAAGTATACGATCTTTGTATAAATAATTATACATAAGTACTTGTTACATGAAGTTTAGTATGAAATATAGATTCTTGTTTTCTGAAATAAATAATAAATTATTATTATAGGGTACTGGTGAGATCAACAAGTCTACTGCGCGCCCTAAGGAAGTGTCGAAAATGGAGGGTTTCAACGTGACTCAAGTGACGATGGGCTACTCGCACACGCTTCTCCTCAGCGATGACTCGCCCGATGAAGTGAAGCAGAAACTCGAAAGTCTCCCCAACTTCGAGCCTTAAGATGGACTTACGTTACTTTGGCGTAATGAGGGTTAGGACTTACACGACGAATAGGATAGGTAATGATTATGATTTCTGATAATATACGTTCGACAAATACACTTCTCTGCGCCCAATATCGAGCGTGTTGCTTTTAGCCCTCATCTATTATGCGGTATGAGGTTGATACAATTGTTTTCGTACTTAAACGTGATATCATGATAATATCAAATTATTGCAATTGAGATAATGATTACTATTATTTTGTGATGGTTTGTTCTGTACTCCTTTATAGCGTGAGTTTTAATCGCGTTCATATTAGTTTCGTTAAGGATCACCATTTTATTTCAAACTTATATACGTAAAGGCAATCCGATGTAAGATTTTTGTTTTTGTCGGCTGAGATCATGACAGTACATGCCGTCAAGCCGATTAGGATCATTTTCACGCAAATTTTATGTCGGGAATTTGATTACTATATTTTTTATTATGTGCATTATGCAACTGATAATTGGTCAATCATTTTTACAGTCCCTAAAGTAGTAATTATTAACAGTAATTGTTCGTAGTAAGTAAAAATCAAATTCATAATTAGCTGAATTCCCCAGATAGTTAACCCAGTTAATAATATTAAAATATTAATTAAAAGTAATATTAACCTACACCGTATATGTTATAAACACGCTGCAGCAGCGTGGCCTTATATAATGACATATTGTAGTGAATAAAAAGACATTCGTATTTATCAAAATCACACACAGTCACATGAAGCTGTCCATTAAAACTTATTTTTAGTATGATTGTGTTCCAGTCATGGACGATTAATTATTGTGCATTATAAATTGCTTCCCTTAGCCGGATTTACATTTGTCTGATGTGTCGTGTCGAATTATATAGTTTTTAGATTTATATTAGTGTATCACAGTATGACGTCACGGCTTGTGTTGTGTCGCGTCAGGACGGGTGAATTTGAGCGGCCGCGATTATGAAACTTTTCACCATCGCACTTAAGCTCTTTAACGAGGAAGTAAAACTCTCCTTTAGCCCCTCTTTTTTTATTCACTGGATGAACCCAATTATATTCTTTTATTTATTTCTTTTTTTTTTAAATATAGTTGCCATTATTACAAATTGAATATCTTTCATAATCAGCATCGGATGATTCAGGAGACAACATTGCGAACGTATGAACTCCCCGAGAACCACGTCACATCAGACAAATATAAACGCGGCTTCAGGCTCTACTTTTTACACAACACATCGACACAGTAACGTACAAGTCACAAAAATTATTATTTACTTTATAACAAGAAGCGTTCGAACAAAAAACCTAAAATCATCAGTTACCTACTTTGTTAATAAATATTAAGTGCACAATTACTGATTACCAGAGATCAGAATAATGAGATCATTACCTTCCACGATAATTCTCTGCTCACTGCGTCTTAGCACTCTAAAGCTGATATTTCTTTAAATCGCACCTTCAAAATGAAAGTAATTGAATTTTTTGTTTAATACAGAATCCGTAAAACGACTATAAACTTTTCATAAGGTTGTTAATCTGGATATGGCCTTTGATTATTTTCAATACTAACATACCGCGCTTCTAACAAAATGTAACAAAGGAATTAAAAATGAAATTACAAACATTTTGACAACTTTGCATTTAACACCTACCGATGACTTGACAACAAGTTCCCTCGTAAAAAAAATTGGCCCATAGGTCACATTGCCGGTCAGTTGAAATTTAACCTAATCTTACAGGTTGAGGGTTTTGTGTTATAATTATAACATTCCAAAAATATACAGTAAAAAAATGTGAACACTATTAGATTCGCGAACATTTAGTTTTTTTTACGTTTAATGGCAGTGCGCCTCCGTAATTTGTATGATATTATGTGATCCTATACTCTGTCTTCTTTGAAGATGGGGAAAAATGACAGTTCATTGAGCATAAGTGTTGCCCACTTGCAAGCAGCTAGTGATTGCAGTCGATAAATATTATATCGACTATCGACGGTTGTTGTTTACGCTTATGAAATAAATAGCCGAACTTGTTTCATTTGATTCATCATCGGCCCATTATACGTCCAACTTTAGGTGCAGGTTCATTAGTATTGTTAATTTTTAAAAATCCATTCATACATACACTAAATTTAGAACTATGTCTATTGAAAATGCAAATAGGAAACATATTTTGAAGTTTTTAATTTAATTTAATATAGGTACATACTCAAATCCACTTCCCGTTATTAAAATGTGTATGACCAAAAATTGATTTTGATAATAATGTCAATATAAGAATAAAGTATACAATAACACAATTAGTAATATCATTGGACATTTTTGTCAAATTTTTACCTAATTTCACAAGCTATCGATAAAGCTGTCGACGTTACATGTAAGTGACCATTTTAAATTTTAAAAACACTGGCAACTCTGCAAATGTCATTTTACTCCACCTTCAAAAAAGACTGACTATATGTCAAAGTTAATTAGCCATTGTTACTTGGATTGACTTCAGGGGTACGTTACTTAAAATAGGTTTTAAATTACGTATGAATTTCGTGACTTAAATAACAAGTTTTCCGTAGCATAATTTTTCATTGTTCAAAAAAATCAAGCCACTGGCGTCTTGGCATTTATTCCTAAAAAATAAAAACTTTAACGTCGCTTTTTGATGTCATGTTCCTTAAAATTTCGCAAAATATTTGAATATCAAAATTACAACAGTGGCTGAATTTTTTCCACAGTATTATACCATTGCAATCCGATATTAAACAACCTCCATGTGGTGCTCTATTCAAGCTTATATTTTACTTGAATGTAGTAAAGTCTTTTCCAAGCTGACTTCTCTAAAAACAGTTGTAATTGTTATCGTCTAAGTGTAGCATCGATGTGAGTAATTGTTGTATGTCACCGTACTTACTTAAATCTTATTCAATATATGTTATAATATACAAATATTAATTTTAAATAATGTTAGCGTTTCGCCGTCATGAATGTGTCTTGCACAGGTATTGTTTATTGTGTGCAATGTAAGGAACGTATCAGATGCGGGAGTAAAGGCTCTACGTGGGAATTTATTTTTGGATGTTTGTAATGGTTAAGTTAAATGGACGCGTAGAGGCAGAAACATCTTTTATACACTGTATTAAAACTGCCGGTGCACTCCCGCTTGAATTAGTTGTGCATTTTGCAGCACGTGCCAGCACCGCGCCCATACAAAAACCGTAAGTGTATGACAAGAGAAACATACAAACCCAGCTTTAGCTGGCGCGCGCTGACAAATGTACGCCATTAAAGACTGCGGCAGTTATCTATGTTGTATCGTAAGTAGATGTTTAGAATTAATTATTTTAAAATGAATATGCCACCGCCGGGAACTTTTAGTTTCATTATGTAATTGCAGATCTTAAGAATGATTCTCAATCATGTCTCTCTACCTCTTATGATCAAATAATGGAATAATATTTTAGGAGAAGCGATATTAATGCCTGAACAAAATCTGACTGATGTATTCCCCGGCCAGGAGCCTCTCACGATCGCCAGTGTAGCACTTGGTGCCAAAACACTCCAACCACATTTGAGTTTTGGCAATGAAGTGACAATGTGTGCTAGTAAAGCAAGTTTACTATGGCCCTTAGTCGAGCAGTATTTTGTCTTGTCATGTATTATTCCCTTCTGTTTATTATTTAATTTTGTAATATATTCATTTGATCAAGATATAAGTGGCTATGCCGTCCATGACTCCTTAACTTTGTAACACATTATAATGAGATCAGTTTTTTGAATACAATTTTGTGCGATTTCGTGAGTGGCTTCTTAGGCACTTAGATTAACATGTTTGTATACGAACTTTAGATTAACAGAATTTGGCCGAATTTTCAACTTAGACGTACAGTGAGTCACAGCAAATGTTGTAAACTGTCAAACAAAATTGTTAAAATTTGTACCTTGCATTTACATAGCATTCTTTACTATTTATACAAAAATAACCGTTATTTTTAGCTTGCTATGTGGCTGAATGTACCTAACGAATTTACAATTTCTAATTCAATTACAATTTCGAATTTAAATTTAACGCCTAATGTTTTTTTTATTTGGCTAATGGTTTATTCAATTTTCGTACTTATAATTTATAATAATTTAGTTGTAAGCGTAAGATTTAAATGTAGCGTCTCAAACACTTGTGTCTAATGTAATATTACTAAGGACATTCCTTTAAGGTGACCTTTGTTCAGAAAAACACTAAACAATACGGTTCGACTTTAAACTACTTTTTTATTCGTTCATTTATTAGTAAGTTTTTCTCGCTCAGGATGTGATGTGAGCAACGGGTATAAACTTATATTTATTTTATCATGCGTAGTAATCTTTGTAAACAGCATACGGTGATATTTGATAAATAAAGTTTTCACGTCAATTTAACAAGTCCTTCTTTTTTGATTCCTTAATTATGATCATTGCGTCATGGCAGAGGTTATTATTTTTGTCTATGTTCAAGTAGCGGCCATCTTGCTAGAATTTAAAGTCGGTGCCACACACAAATTAGAAATCTATAGCAGGGTGCCACATTTATTCTTACTACATCTTTCAAATTTGTGAACAACAGGTTAGACTGGTTAGACATTTTTTGGTACTGTTTTTTCCATTGGAAATGGCAAAGGCACTAATTAGGGTTAGACATTTTTTTTCGAAGTCGAAAACATAACTATTTTTAACAACAACAAAAAACAGAGGCATACAAGAAATTCAAAACCAGTGGTTATATGCATATACAAATCATTTTCATGTTAGCAATGCTACAAACAGCTGAATGTAAGGTTATCTGACAACAGTTTATAGTAAGAGTTATTGAAAAATTGCATATCAACTGAAGTCATTAATTCATTATAATGACTAATTATTAACAAATAGCCGTTTTTGCAGCGCGCCTTATTCCAACGTGACCATGGTCGAGTTTTTGAAATTTGACTAGCCAGATAAAGTCCCTATTAAGTCGGTCCACGTTCAAAAGTTATAAGGGTGTTTTAGTGTTCACGCTGGAATAAGCATATTCCAGGGACACCATTACTCAAACTCGAGAACCACAACGCCTGGCTTTAGTCGGTTCTAATCGTAAAAAACTAAATTTAGTCGTTACCCCGTTTTAAAGTTATCAAGGTGTTTTACCTTTTTAAATTATAATAGTCATCGTTTATTCAATTATGTCATTCATTCATTTAACTATTTAATTATTCTGATCAATACGCAATCGTACGCAACTGTACTCCACGCGCCTCATTCGTTTCGTGTAAGCCAGGGCCTAACACGACACAAATACACTAATAAATATCATGACAATCGATAAATCCTAAAGTCAAGAAAAATAACTGTATATTTTTTGCTAATGTGCTTGTATTAAAAGCTAAACAATATTAAATACCATGCAAATTTGTACATGAGCTATAACCTTGAAATAGTTGTGTTGTATTTTCCAAACAAAGGAGCGACTAATTCTAAAATTTCTTTTTTTTTTTTTTGGGTGCTATCAGATCTAAGCTAGGAACTGTGTTCTCGAGATTCAAAAATGGTGCCGCCCGAATAAGCTTATTCTAGGCATGGACAGTAAAACACCATAACAGCCATCACATATATGTATATATATATTCGAGCGTGGACACCAAGCAGATGAAATAGCAAAATGGTTTCCACGGCAGTTAAATACGCCACGACACAGGGTAAACTAGTGAAAAACATTTAATATTAGCGTGATCTACTATGCACACTTTAAAGCTGTGACCACAGAACACTATACTCACAGCTCTGAACATATTGAAGTATTTCGGAGTTTTCGCATAACTTGGCATTGTAGCCAAATCGCAAATCGCCGTCTCTTTTTCGTTTTGTTTTATTTCGACTTATTTAACAATCACAGGTCTAGAAAATGCGGGGAAGCTCTTATTTGAACAATTATTTTATATTTTCATAAAATAATATTTTTAAAAAACGCGCCTTTATCTTTCGAGTTTCCCGCCGGTTATTTATTTCTATTCTATTTCCTTAATGGCGGCCACTAGGCTTAGGCCAGTGTCAGTTTCGACTAATTTTTCTTTGAATTGTAATAACCAACGTAGTGATTAGATCCTCTTTGGTAATAACATGACAATGTTAACATCAAATTTTTTATTTATTTATTGAGCATTGGCTCTGGAGCCATTAGCTAAAACAAACAACAAACAATTAAGAAACTCAAAACGTAATAATACTAAAACTAAAAATTAATTCAGGAAAAAAATTGTAACTACAAAAACCCGCCATTTTTCAAATCATAATAATACATCAAAAACATTTCGCGCTTTTTTTTGGATAGTAACGTAAAAATAAAATTGATCTAACAATGTTTCAAGAAAATCGATGTAAAAGTGTTATAAAGTGCAAAAAGGCAGATTTTAGTAGTTACATTTTTTACACAAATTAATTTTGAGTTTATGTTCAAGCTACACATTTACGTGTCTTGTTCCGTTGCGATGGAGGCGATTTTCGAACAAAAATATGAAGTCTGATGTGCCGTTGTCCGTATATTACGTTGTGCGTTTCTTGAATATTGTTACTATTAAATAACAAATAACTGATGGCTCTGAAGCCAATGCTTTCTAAATAAATAATATGTTTTAAAGTTAAGTTCAGCAACTACAGTTTTTTTCCTCAATCTACATACAATTTTTTTTTTGGTGCAACATTTTCAGGTTTTTTTTAGATTTGACCTGGCAACACTGCCTGCTATTAGGGCGCGTTCAAATTAGACGCGCGGCGGTCGCGCGGCAGCCGACTGTCGCGCTGCTGAAGTGCGACCAAATTTTTAGTGATGTTTTAGTGATCTTTCGACTCAGTTACACGATGGATTCTGACGAAAAAACGTTGTCAGCCCTCATGTATTCAGATGTAAAGGCCATTTCCGTAAGGATCACCAAAAATAAATTTTTGAAAATTCTTGGCAACCATCTTTGATTTAGAAATTAATGCCACATTCTCAATGGGCACTCCCAAACAACTCGAAAAGTCTATAATTCTCGTTGTTGATCGACAATGTCGTAGGCACTTTTAGAATCCGTTCGTTACCTTTATTTTGTCAAAATAATCAAAATGAATACTACCATTAAATAGTTACAAAACTCGATTTACGAAAAATATTTGTAAATAGTTTTCGCCTTGTTTATGGGTTGTTATGGGATTTTTACGTTTGTTTAACACTATTCTTCACACTTGTATTCAGAACCAAAAGGTATATAGTTAGGGGGGTCAGAGTTCTTGGGGTAAACACTTCACGTATATATATTAAAAATTACTCTCAACCTGCTATGTTTTTTTTCATTTGTAGTTTTAGTTTCAAAATTGTCAATAAATTTTAGACATAAATTTTCCCATGCCTTTTTTTCCAGTCGATTAGAACAACTGGCGGAACTGATATCCCATATGGCAAGGTGTTATTCTGCATTCTGTATAAATTCTTCAACTCGATTTTCGTCCATCGTAGTTAATTTGAAAAATTAACATGTACACCTCACTAACCGTGATGCAACCGAGAGTGGCTGCAGCGCGAGTATCGCGCGGCCGTCGCGCGGTTGCAGCGCTTTTAGAAGTTGTAAGAAAAGTGACAATCAAAAAAAGCGCTTAGAAAGCACGCTTTTTTAAAAAAGCATAACGTTTCAACGTTTAAAAAATAAGCAGTTTTTCCCATATCTAGTATCGAATCGTCTCTCCATAGTTAAAATGTGTGATCAGGGGGTCTACTCTTGTTCTCCGTCCGAAACAATTACTGCCAAATAAGCAATACTTGACCAAATGAAAAGACGCGTGATGCGAATGAAGCTTCATACTTGATACTTGTCTTTTAATTTTGTCGAATATTACTTATTTGACAGTAATTGTTTCGGACGGATGTCGGATGGAGATCGAGAGTACGCCCCATCCGCGCCGCTGTTGCCAGATTAGGCGACTTTTCGCCATTGAGGCTACTTTGAGGGGTCGCGCGGCGACTAAAAAAGTGATCGGTGACTCGACGATACTTAAGGCTATGTTTGAAATAGGAAGAGGCGATTTTAGGCTACTTAATAAAATGTCTGCGGAATTACAATTTTTTTTGGGAATTTTGTGGGGAATGAAGTTGTAAAATAACTCATTTGGGGGTTTGAGTATTTCTACGTGTGCGGAATTGGGGAAATAAGAGAGTTCATATTCCCTAATGTTCGGCAGCAAGCAAAATTATAGAATTGTTTTTCTTGATTTTTCGGGATTTTATGGCTTGGGTGAATATCGGCTACATAACACACATAAATTGACGAATTAACTTTTCAAAAGTCTGGCAACACTGTTCCGCGCGTACGCTGTGCGATGTGCTTGAGGACGTAGATAAATAAATGTATTAAACTTCTCGACGATGCGCGGAAATAAGAGGTAAGTCCTAGAGCATTATTTTAATATCATTAAAATTGTATTACGTTTGTTAAAATGAATGTACTTACCATATATTCTACATGAGAGCAGAGTAATTTGGATTGTTCATGTTGTTTGTTACAATGCGGCCGGCCATTTAAAAATAGAAAACAAAAACAAATCGCGATTGTATGTAAAGAAACTAACGGTTG